TGGAAGGACAGATTTGTGACTGTTTTCCAATTACTGCCTTGAGATCATGAGGAGCAGAAAAAAAATGTGCCCTAGTTGAACTAAATTTTCCCTTGAGTCCAGTGCCATCTATGTTAACTTATTCGTTAGCCTTGATAGCTGACAGAAATATTGTAAATATTAGGTATTTGTAGTGGGTCTTTTACTACAAATTCTAGGTCATCTTTGTTCTTTGTAGAAACTATTTTTAGTTTGGAGTTGAGAAGTTACTCAGATATAAAAGGGATCCATCTTTTACTTTATTTTTTTAATATATTCAGCCTGCCTGTGCAAAAATTCTTGGATAGTTTTTATTAATCTGCTTTTTCACTAAATAAAGAGTTGTCCAAGAATCCTTGCAGTGTTTGGACATTCTGTTTAAGCACAAGCTTCTGTGGTTTAAAGAGCAACGTGGCTAAATGATTGTCACTATTTGTATTTAACCAAGTCACTGCAAGAGTTTAGATTTGGTGCGCTGGCATGTGCAAATTTTTTTCGTTGTTATTCTTTATTCTGCAGATAACTAAGGTAAGCATCAACTTCTGCTTCAAAATTCTTGAAGTACTTGCTTGAGTATCTCTTAGATTGTTTTCACTATAGCTAAAGTTTATTTAAATAATGTGATCCATAAAATATGGTAGTCACCATGGTGATATATCATCCCTCTCACCTGTGAGAGTCTCCTCTGGCAAAGATGCTGATTTACTTTCCACCAGTGTTATGGTAGATATCCATCTTATGTGTATTGGCTCAGCTTGCAGTACAAAACACTCCTGTTGCAGTCAAATCACGCTTCAAAGGTTCTGCACTTGATGGAATGGGCAAGTAATTTGCTTAGAGTTTAAAAATATAAAAGCATGCATCTGGCATTCTTGGCTGTGTAAAGTTGATAGCAACCGCAAGTGCTATGGGCAGCACAAAGGCATTAGAGGAGCTTTTAGTTACTCTCAGTCCTGCTGCTGTGGGAGTTTGCATGTTAATAATGCTTTGGGGGGGGTGGAGGGGGGACTGCAGCTCTATCGGGTATTCTGCATTCAGTGTGTACAGCAAGCTGTCTGTTGGTATGAAAATGAGCAGAGTAGGTTTAAAGTGACTGATGCCATCATGAACTGGTATTAGGTTGTGTCAAGTAAAAGCACAGTCCTCCTCTCTGTCGGCAGTAAATGTTGAGCTTGTTTTAACTACGTGAGCAAAGGTAGTTATTTCATTTCTTTTCTCTGTTCTTGTTTCTTGCTCTGCTGAATCCACACAACTACAGCTCTGAGCTAAGGGCTGTAAAGGGGGTGTGTTTCTCCTCCTTTGATGGCATGTGACCTTTAATTCCATGGTAGCATGTTCTTTAGGGGGGTGGATGTAGGGTTTAGGTTAAATGATGTCCTGACTGCTATACGTGTTTTACTAAATTGCAAGAGCAATCTTGTTAGAACTGCAATAAACTTGTAAAAGGGTACAAAAGCAAAGGACAAGTTATTAGCTAATACTCCTAATTCCAACATAGGTCTGTCAGTAGTTAGTTTAAGCTATTTACAGGGCCCATAAGGGACTTGAGATCAGTTGCTGTGATAAGGGGTTCTAGTTTTCCAGCCTTCTGAAGAATTCAATTCCAGTAATCCTCTCTTTCTTCCTTCCCCTGAAGGTCATCACATTCCACTTTCCTAGATTAAAGGATGTTACCAGAACTGTTGCACAACTCCTGTGCAAGAACAATTGGCAAGGGTGGTGTCTGAGTAGGCCTTCTCTGAGTGATCTGAAAATGAAGCTGCGCTGGAACTGCCAGGAAAGCCAGCTGCTGGAGGAGTGTTGCAGGCCTGGCAGTCTTTCTAGGCTTTCAGATGAGTAGATGAGGACAGAGCTCTGAGCTTTAGAAAACACCTGGGCTGGGAAGGGATTTTTGAAGATCTGTCTGAATACCTGAATGTGATTTGGGTAGGTGTGGAATTAGCAACACTGGTACCTGGTCACTGCTGTCTCCAAGCAATGCGTGCTTCAGCTTTGTGCTCATGGAGTCCATGGGAAAAACTGTAGAAGCAGGTAAGAGCCTGCTACACCAGTGGGGCTGAATCCCTGCTCATATTAACAAAGATTAAGACTGAGTGTATGCTTCTTGCTTTATACTGTAAACTGTACTCAAAGTAACACTTGATATTCCTCTTAGAATAGTAGAATCCTTAGAGTTGGAAGGAACCTTTAAAGGTCGTTTAGTTCAGCTCCTCTGCAGTGAACAGGGATGTGCACAACTAGATCAGGTTGCACACGGCCTGGTCCAGCCTCACCTTGAAAGCTTTCAGGGACACGGGGCATCAACCACATCTCAGGGCAGCCTGTTCCAGTGCCTCACTGTAAAAGACTTCAAGTGCAGAATTTTATATTGGTGTAGAAGACTAAGCTTAATGATGTGCAGAGGAGAAGAGCTGCATACGGTGCAGGAAGAAGGGAAGCTAGAGGAATCTCTGCCAGGTTCTTGTTCATGCTATCTGCACGCTTGACTTCGTTCACCACAACTGCCATTCTTTCTCAGACAGTGGTAGTGATGCATGGTAGGTACTGAGAAGTCACCATTGGATATACTCTTACGATCTCAGTAATTTTGTTGTGTTTGTGGCAACAAGTTTTTAGAGAGAGAATCACTTAATTAAGCTGACAGCTCTGGAGCAGAGTAAAAGCTGACAAGCTTCTCAGGCCACAGGCCTTTGAAGAATGCAGCTGTCTTCCAAGTTTGTTGCTTTAGTAGTTGCTTATGTCTCTGTAGAGAGCTGTGCATGAAACTCAAAGCACTCTTCAGTATGTAAGGACAAATCTAGAATCATTAACTCATTTCGTGAGAGTTTATGGAAGACTGTGGAGCAATTGCCAACTACAAATTAAGGTTGCTTTTTCATCTTTAGCCTGGAAGGTTCCTGGCAATTTGGAAAACTATGAAGGTGTGGAAGTTTCATCTTCTGCTTAGCTGTACTGTAAACTCCGTGCTGTGTGGTATGGGAGAATCTGCATTCTTGGCTGTGTAAGAGGGGCAGATCGCAGCAGTTACATCCAGCAGTGTAAGTTATCTCAGTGCTCCTGCAGCCATGAAATTTCATGTTTATTTTGATAGAATTTAGATAGAACTGACATGAAATGTTGTCAAAAGTTGTGCATTTCTGTACAGGGACAAGCAGATGCATTTTTCTCAGGAGATAATGTGTAGCTTTTTTTTTTTTTCCTTATATATAGGTTGTTCTTCTAAGCTGACCTTAGCCGTTTGTGGTTTTATGGTTTGCCTGAACGTTAGAAATGCAAGCAATGCCATTTAGCCCACTATCTCTTGTCTCTGGACTAGGCCTAGTTTGATTCTTTGTTTGTGGGATTTTTTGTTTTAGGGTTTTGTGAGATCTAACAAATACAACAAAACATTGCAGGCTGGAGTTTCTGAATAACCAAGTCGTTAGTTTGGAAACATAGGAAGAAGCTGCATCTCAGCTAGAGGGTCTGATCTAATGTGAGCCAGTTACAAAGTAAGTTTCATAAATGCAAGAAGCATTTTAATGAAGTCTTGCTGGTTTGGGGTGAAGAAGGGAAGAAAAATTAAGCTCCTTTAGAAACTCTAGGGGATAAAAGATTAAGAAAGCAAGCTGTTAATGGAGGAGAAGGGAAGTTTTAAATGGCAGCAAATACAATTAAAAGTACCAGCTCCTGCCCACAAATAACAGACCAAGTTTTGCAAACTCAACAGGTTTCATTCCTTTTTGTTACATTTCTTTGATGGGATTTTGCCTTTGATTGCGTGGTAGTGGGTGGAATGTCTGATACTCTTGGCTACAAATACTGTATAGGTTCTTAAAACTACATTTGTTCTGGCATAGGAGCTTAGCTGTGTGGGTGTGAATGTTTCTTTGAGGCTTGGTGTTCGTTTTGGGTGATCACCTTATGTTATCTACAGCTTTAAAGGGGGGACTATTGATATCTAGCAGCCAACTTCACTGTGGTATACATCAGCACTGCTGTAGATTTAGTGCTTAAGTATATTAATTACTCTTTTGGTGAAGGTAATGTCTAGATGATCAATTATCCAAAAAATATACTGTGTGGACCTGAGACAAGCAACTATAAATGTTACCTATCATTGTCTTATCAATGGCATAGTGTTTAAACTTTTAAGCACATTAGAATACTAGCTAATCAGAAATGTATTATTGTCAACTGCTTAGGAAAGATGGTGCGGATCTTTTCCTGGGCAATACAGAAAAGTAATACACTGTGCTGGGTTAGAATTTAGCTGATAAATAGGTTATTCCATGCATATCTGAGTATCTGGGATATTTGAATTTTACTAGCAGTCTAATGTCCTGTGTGCACATTTTGCCAGGTGTCCAAAAAAACATCAATTCAGAATTGGCTGATCACATGTTAAATTGGCTGCTGCTGCTTGTGCATAATGAGCTGGATTATCAGAGGTAATCTGTTTAATTTAAGCCCAGCTTGCTGTCAGTGAGAAAGGTTACGGAGCAGCTGCTTGATCAGTTCAGCAGGCAGATCTGAGAGGAATGTCGTAATTCTGTCAGTACAGACAGGCAGGAATATATGGTGAGAAGCCCCAGCTGATCAATGTAATGATACCAATATTCGTTAGCTATTCAAACTATAAGCCAACCATTCTTTAGCATGCAGGTATCAGTGAATTTTGAACAAACTTTGCTGCTTGTTTAAAAGCAGCTTATTGTACTGTTTTATATCTCTTGATACGATTCAGGTATGGAAAAATTAGGGGGAGTAGATTAGACAGTTATGCTTGTTCTCCATTCAGTAACAGCCTTATCAGAAAATGAGAAACTAATCTTGATTAAAAGAGAAAGAAGAGACTGAATTCTAGTTTGTGTTTAATTTTAACACTTCTGTAAGCACAAGTTGTGCATTTGTAGTCTGTACCTAAATGAGAAGAGATCTTGTGCTGCAGTTACACATGTGGTTTATGAATGTTGTTTCTATTGTCTTCATTTCTTTTCTAGGGAGAGAGTGTGTGCAGCAGCTAGCAGAGAACACAAGGTATTTCAGGAGACGACTGAAAGAGATGGGCTTTATCATCTATGGAAATGAAGATTCCCCTGTTGTGCCTCTGATGCTGTACATGCCAGCAAAAATTGGGTAGGTTTAACAGATTTTTTTTTTTTTTTTTGTCCATCTGCTTTAAAGTTAGCATGCTACGAGAATATTAAGACTTTTCTAAATGTAAAGAAAGACTGTTTTGAAACATGGCATGTAGTGGCAAAGCTTGTTCTTATTCACATATAGAGATTTTTGCATCTTTCTTAAAAATGTTTGGCATTAGATTAGATGGTTTTTTGGTGGTTTTTTTTTGTTGTTGTTTTGTTTTTTTTCAATTTGAGTGTTCCCATGATAAGCACTTCAAAAAGCAGTACATCCTGTGGCTCTGTAATGTGCCTCAATTGAATTTAATTGGTAGAAACAAACAATTTTGAAATAGCAGAAGCATTTGCTTTGGGATATTGCAGCAGGGGGCATTCCTCATATAGTCAAACTTCTGAGCCTTAGTTCCTGTTTCCTATCTGAAGGATTTTCAGGCTTAGGTTACAAATCCATTTAGAAAGAGCCTGCCAAAAGACCAGCCTCTGCCACATATAATCTTTCAGCTTTGTTAGAACTTAATACAGTGAAAGCTTTTGAGGAAGACCACCTTGGGATTGAATTAAAGAGAGCCTTTGTAATTAGATGTTCTACCTCCCTGAGAAAGAACTGGAAGCTCCAACTTGTGGTGTTAAAGACTTGTTTAACGAAGGCATGTATAGGTAAACATACTAAGACCTTTGTGCTGTCACTGCTCTGTCTCTAAGGTGTCATTCTGACCAATTTTCCTTGATTTATTTATTTATTGATTTATTTTTGGCAGTGCATTTGGGCGTGAGATGCTGAAGCGGAACATTGGTGTTGTGGTTGTGGGCTTCCCTGCAACTCCCATCATCGAGTCCAGAGCCAGATTCTGTTTGTCTGCAGCTCATACCAAAGAGATGCTTGATACGGTAAGTGTCTCATCTTGCCTCTGTCTTGCTCGTGTCTTCTGTAAACAGAGATAACAATTCTGGTTTTCCTGGGTTCTTTTTGTTGTGTTGGGTTTTTTTGTTTTTTTAAAGAATGGTTTGGTATACGATTTGTGTTTGGTATACAAATTAATTAAACCTGATGTTCAAAGTTGTCTGTAGTAGAGTGGACGCCATCTCCAACAAATCAGAACAGCCTTCTTCAGTAAATTTCAGGGACTTTTTCCCATTTCACATATGCAAGAGAGATGGTCTGATTCCCTTGAGATACTTTTTTTTCCTTTGTTAAATGGGAGCATAGTGACATTCTCAATTAGCTCTGTGAAAGATCATGGTTGATTGGAAGAGGTGCTTGAGGAAAGACAAGAATATGATCAGAGGAACTGCAGGCTGGACAACCTCACCTTGATCCTTGGAAGGATGATGAAGAAAAAAAATTCCTTGAAACTAAACTATTTCCAAGCCTATTATGGACAAGGTGGTTGGGAATAGTTATTGTAGAATTATGAAGGAGAACTTGTGCCCAGTGCTCAGGTATGATCAGGTGGAGACACTTTATAATGTGAACAGCAAATAGGAGTTGTAGTTTAAGCAAATCCTTACCAGCATATCAACAACAAAAAATGTAGTCTTAAGCCTTTAATCCTTAGCTGCCACACAGTTTCTACATCAGTAATGAAAAATGGCCCTTCTTGATTTTAGATTTGCTAGGAAGAGTAGTAAGGCAGTAGCATGTAGAGTTTGATAAGTGTATCAGGTGCAGCTCTGTACCAGTAGAACCATTTGCTTTTTATCTGTGGTGCTGTACTTACTGCTTTCAAACTATTTCTGCCCTTTAAGACCTGAAGGATTCCACCCTGACACTCCAACAACCAGCTGTTAAAGGGGTTCCTTTCCCAGCTACTTGTCCTGTTACTTTTCCTGTAATTATGCTAAGTAAATTGTTTCTGTTCTAAATAATTCTGAAATGCTGTTTTTTGAGAGCTCTCTCCTTCTCTTTCTTTTCTCTATTGTAAAATCAGTAATACTAGACTTAAATTACTTGGAGCATAGCATTAGAAATGAGTGCATTGAAACAAATGGGGGAGCAATAGCTTCTGATCGGGTAGACACAGGAGAATGAATGGGAAATAGGTGGGAGGAGGGGAAAAAAGAAAATGTAAGTCTCTGAAATGGCATTCCTGCATGGTGAGCTGCAACTTAAACTGCGCAAACTTGATGTGCTGATGCTATCTGAGCAATCACACCATCTTGCTGTCTGCTACTCTGTCTTCTCCTGGTGACTAACTGGCTGGTTTCACAGGATATTTATAGGCACTATACTTGCTCTGTTCTAAATCCAATCTGCAATTTTTATTACTCTGCTTAAAAAAGCGCTCTTTTCTTATCAGTCTACTTACACGTCTTCTAGCTTTCCAGAAAGTTTTGTGTGTTTAGCTCTGAGGACTCACTTCTAAAGTATACATCTAGGTGCTAAATGCTCCAAACCAAGGAAGATGCTTGTTCAGTATATTGGGGTTTGTCTGCCTAAGAAAATTAATCCAGGACAAAATGTATGAATTTTGAAGTGAATGAAGAAATCTTGATTTTTATCTTGGTGTGTGAAGGCTTTGTTCCAAGTTGGCATGAAGTGCTTCGGAGTTTAAAGTGACTGCATGCCCTGAACCCAGAACAATGGCAAGTGGAGTTAATAAGTAGCAAGTCTTTGTGTCAGTGACTGTGTTCTGCTTTTCTGCTGACACAGTGAAACAGAATCAGCTTCAGGCAGCTAGTAATTAAGACCATGGTCAGATGGGTTCCCTCTGCTGAACTGTGGCAACGATATCCAAGAGGAAAATAAATGAAGTGAGTAGAAGTGGAGAGAGCTGGCACAGTTTCCACAAGTCAGTGGTACAGAGAACTTGGTAGCCCATCCATGTGTGCATGGATACTAATGCTGTTATTGTGGCATTTTTTTGTAAATAAAATTAATCAGAGCAAGGGGAGGAGAAGTTTATCTTACACTTGTATAAGATATATACTTGTATACTTGATATTTGTAATGCTTCCTTGTTCTTATTAAACAAAACCATGTGATGGGGAACAGTTCTCAGTTACAATTTTAACCATTTTATGTAAATAAAACTTTCCTGCCTGAAAATATTTGGCTCAGGATCAGAGTGAGGTCCTTCATAACCTGCATCCCTGTGGGTTGGTGCTTTCTTTTTAGTGATGAATAATATATATTACACTCTTGAAATCAGAGTTCACCAATGCCATTTCTTTTGTAGTCTTCGTTAGTCACATGGTCCTTTTTTGTTTTAAATTAATAAAATCCTAAATCTGCATTCAAGAATAACAGTTAACAGACTCTTTCAACAGAAATTAACCTTAAATTGTTTCCATATGGGGTTTTTACTTTAAGCTCTGGCAAACTGTGCCCACTCTCTTGTTTGGTTTTGTTTTTATTGAGGTCTAACTTCTGGTCTTGTCATTCCCCCAGATTTTAGAATGGAGAGGTTCTTGCTGCCAGATATAACAAGCATGAGGGGCCATTGTTTAAAGAAATAAGAACTTGGACTATTCATCCAGGAAGGAAAAGCATGTAGGGATATTAACCTCCATCTGCCAGCTATTCTCAAGAGATAGGCATTTGACCCAGAACATGTTAAAAGTGGAGTGTTGTTGTTGAATTAATGGCATTCTGAAAGAATGCTGAACGTACCTATCTGAACAAATCTAAAATGTAAGGGAGTGCAGAATGCCAACCTTGGGAGTTCAGAAATCTCACTTAAGTTGGAAGTCATCTTCTGCACATATCTTTGTCACTCACCATGGATAAGATAGATAATTAGTATGACATATTGTTGCACATTTGTCTTCAGCAGCTGACTTATTTTTACCACCTTGTTCCAGGGATGGTCTCCAGAGAAATAGAAGCTTAAGGTCTGACTTCTAACAAATTCTACTGTGAGCCAGTGTCTTATCAAAGAGATTGCATGATTATAGAGGAGATTCAACTCTTTGAAAGGGTAGATAGCAGCAGGACAAGGGGAAATGGTTTGAAATTGAGGGAGGGAAGGTTTAGGTTGGATGTCAGGGGGAAGTTCTTTACAGAGAGAGTGATGAGGTGCTGGAGCAGCTGCCCGGAGAGGTTGTGGATGCCCCATCCCTAGAGGTGTTCAAGGCCAGGTTCGATGGGGCCCTGGGCAGCCTGGTGTAGTATTAAATGGGGAGATTGGTGGCCCTGCATGTGGCAGGGGGTTGGAGATTCATGATCCTTGAGGTTCCTTCCAACCCTGGCCATTCTGTGATTATCTGAGCAGGGACTTTCCTCATTTCTTATGCTAGCAAGTGCTTGACTTCTGTAGAACTTCAAATGATTAGTATTCAGGTCATATGGTGAAAGGTTTTGCAAGCTCATTAGCAGTGCTCTTGGCTACCCGTTGGCTAGGTGTCCCTCTATGGCTACAGTTAGAGAAAGCTTCTTTCCAGGTGGGAAAAAATGCTTGGGGTCCTATTCAGAATGGCTTTTCATTCCTTGACAAAAAATATCCCATACAATACTTAGCACATCTCTAATTGCACATGGGCAATTAGACATCAGTCTAATCAAATACAGATATTTTAAAATACACCAAGAAAAGCTGCTAGCATAAAATACGCTATTTTTCACTATCTTGTAATACAAAAATTATGGTATTTTAGTAGTAGATAGTATACCAACAAATACAGTATTTTCATACTGAACGATAGAAAAAGAGGCATCAAACCTCAAGTACGTTTTCCTGTTTCAGCTATCTTAACCCCCCCAGAAATGGAGGACTGCTTTTTCTCAACTGATCCATGTATGGACAGGCATGGCTTTAAACAGGCTGACAGTGAAAATTAAAGTAGTATTGCTAGCTGCTATATTTGTGCTTTGGAGTTGGAATAGTCAGGTATGTTCAGAGTCACTGTTGGTGAAATTACTTGTGCCACTCACTTGGTCTGGAGTCTGCCAAATATTAAAACACAAAAAAAATTGTGCGTACCTGAAGCTACATCATTCTAGTCTGGTAAATTTCCACTTGGCCTGTGGGCATGCAGAAAGGAAGATGTGCTGATAGCTTTCTTGCATTTGTTTCCCCTGCTGATACACTGTGGTCTCTTTCTCAGGCTTTAAAAGAAATCAATGAAGTTGGGGACCTTTTGCAACTTAAATATTCCCGTCACCGTTTGGTACCTCTCTTGGACCGGCCATTTGATGAGACTACATATGAAGAAACAGAAGACTGATCTCCCTCCATATGCCTTGTTGGGAGGGACATACCCCCGTGGGACGCTCTGTGGCATGCAAGCCACAGTGTGTGAACAACACACTTCTGACTGCTCAGTGTAAAAGACATTTCCTCTCAATACTGAAGTGGCCACCATCAACTCTAAATGGCATTTTGTAAATAGAGAGAGGAGGAGGAGGAAAAAAAAAAAAGCTTTGATTCATGTGTCTTCAGGGTCTGGCCCTAGAGGTGCTTGGCTTTATTTCTTCATGTTGCTTTTTTTATTTATTTGTCTCAATAAGTTCACAGCAATCCACGTTGGCTGTGACTGATGAGCTCAGTTTTTGTATGCACCAATAGCCTCCCAGATGCTGGCTGAGATGTTGTGAGCATGTGTGATGCTGGCATGGCAGCATTTCCAGTGTCACTGCTACATGTCTGACCTTGTAGTAAGGGGTGAGCTGACCTGTCTGTTGATTGGAGACTTCCTAGAGAAACTGTTGATTGCTAACTTTGACGTATTTAACAAGACTGATAATCAACCAAAGCTTTTTTCTTTTGCTGTTACTTGCTTAAAACTTGAATATAGCGTTTTTTAAAATAAATGTGTTGCTGACGCATCACTGACAGGACCATTGTTCCCAAACATTATTTAGTTTTACAAGTCTCAGGCAGTAAGACTTCTGGGACTCCAACTACTTTTCCTTCCCAGTATGGATACCAGATTGTCTCCTGGGTTTGACAATAATTATCCTCTTCAAATAGGGTAAGTGATGGAGAGATTGTATTGTTGCTAGTGAATTTTAAAATGGGGATGATTCGTCTTTTGTCTGACGTACTTCTGTGGCTTTTTGTTTTGTTTTGTTTTTTAAGCTGGTCTTAATGTGTATTGCTTTCTTGATTTCTCATCTTCACATTTCTTTGTCTTTGCTTTAGAACTAGTATGAAACCACAAAAAAGCATATCTAGTAGCTGCTAGGTTCTGGAAAGATGTTCTTGGAATTAAGTAAACTATAGCAAGTGTTCTGCTGCTTGTTAAGTCTAGGACCTCTGAATAATCAGACTTACGTGATGGATTGGAACTACTTATCTCATACAGGTCTGTGAAAGAATGATTGCTACCCTCTGCCACACTAATTCACTGTTTCTTGTCATGTATGGGATTTTCTTGTTGTGCAAGGCTTTTATGCAGAAAGTATGAACAGCCTGGATCTGTATCAAAATGCTTCAGCTAGCCAGCAAAGTCTCAGTTGGTAGCTGCATATCATGTATATGTAGGCCTTCCCTGAAAAGCAAATGTCTTCACAATTGCGATTAGTTTGAGATGGTTATTTTTTTGTATTTCTGTTACTGTGACATCTGTTCACTGAGCCAATTGCTGTTAATCTTTTCTTTCCAAATTCCACACTGTCCTACTCTGATCGAAGTTTTGAATAGCCTCCTTTGCTTTAGCACACCTTGGAAATGGACTATATCATAGTCATTGTGTCTTGAGTTTTTTCAGTAAGCAAAATGGATTGCTTAAGTGATACCAAAAAATGTTACAACCAGGATCAGTTGCAGGATAGTTCTTGGTGTGTTTTGTTTTTTCCTTTTTACATACTCCTTCCTCCTTCCAGGCATACAGATTATCTGCAGGAATACTAGTGCTTTAACGTTGCATAATTTGGGTTTGGGTTAGCATGATGTTCTTTGCAGAAGTTTTTAAACAAATTCTTCACCTTAAAGTTAAAGCAAACTGCAGTCCAAAGTAATGTGGTGTTTATATAAGTTATTTTATGTTCCTTCTTGCAAGTAACAGGGAAAAAGCTCTTTGGTCCCTGGAACCAAGCAGTTCCACAAGTACATATTGTTGATTAAAGCAGAATTGGTTTCTCTTACGCAATATCTTCACATCTTTGTAGATCTTTTTAATATAGCTAAAATTAGAAACACCGTTTTGACTTCTACCATTGCATTTCATAAATTTAATTAGATGAGAATTAAAACTGCTTTCAGAATAGGTTTGGGTTAACCATTTCTGTTTCAGTCCCCTAATGCTGATTTGCTGGCCTTCTGGTGCAAGGTGTGTGCAACCCAAGAAGTCTGTAATCTGCATGTGCAGCCTTCCTAGCTATGAAGTAATCTCATTTGTTCAGCCACAGAGTAAACTGCAGTTATGTGAGCTTACTTTAACATTCGACCTTCTTCACCTGCATTCTGCCCAGGACAAGCTCTGACATTCCAGCAGATGACCTGCTTTCTGACTTGAAGCAGCTTTACCTCAAAGAATTGTTCTTTTCCTTTCTTGTTTGTAGCGGGGAACAAGAGGAGGTTAGTGCAGGAATCCCCATTCCTGACTCCACTCCTGATACTGTTGACAAAATGGAACAGCTTGAGCTGACAAAACCAGCTTACTCAGAGACATAGGCCATGGATCAGTGGGGAGCTGTTGAGCCTTCTGAGATGTACAGCATGCTTGTATCTGCAGTGTGGTCAGCCAATTTGAACTTTGTGATGTGTTAAATTAGAGATGGTAATAGCAGACAGTATAAGTCTCCAGTCTTAATCTTGTTCCTGAAATTCAGTTTTAGGGCAACTTATTTTTGGACAGGAGGAAAATGGCTAAATAAATTTTAATAATCCAAATAACTCCTATGTAATGGGTCTGGAACTGTCAGTGTTTTAAAGTTATAAATCACCATGTTAGAATTCCTGTTGTGCTTGTCCCAGTTGTACTTGTTTGAGGAGATGGTGTTCATGCTAAACTTCAGCCTTTAAGTATTTTTCTTCTGTGTTACGCTGTCTGCATAGGACTTTGAATTCCAGGTTTCAAAGACATTTTGGAAATCATCCAGGCCATTAGTAGCATTTGCAAACTAACTACTTGGTCACATTTCATTGCCATGTCCTTTTGGAAAAGCAACATTTCCAACCTTAACATCGCCAGAAGGCGGTTATTTAGGGGAACCTGCTTTGCCGAACTCTGGTACCTCATAAAACTACTCCTGAAAATGAATATTTCTAACAAGAGAGCCTTTTTGTGTAAACAATTCACCGAGCTTGAAAGCCAGGAAAATCATTTCATACCTGTTGAAACACTCTGCTCCCACAGGTGAAGGAGCAGACCACTACTGATTTGTGGTAGGTAAGCCTATAGCATGCACACTGTCATTGTGGTGTACAGGGAGGACTGCTGATCTGATATTTATGTACTGACGAGAAATCCGTCTCCATTCATTTCTACTGTTAGGACAAAAGGAAAGAACCAATCTTGAGAGATCACAAAGAAAAGCTACTTGAGAAATAGACTCCAGTCCCTGCCAACTTCTTTGAGACATTCTAATTGAAAATGACTCTTGGTATTTCTTAAGAGGGACAAAATTCAAAGGAAAATGAAAGCTACTTTTGAACTAAGGATTTTGCCCTGTACTGTACATTGTCTAAACTTATTCATAAATATACAGTAGTTACTTTCCCCATGCCTCTCTAAAGAACTTAGCAAGAAAGAGTTTGCTGAGCTGAGTGATAGAAGTTCAGAAGACTTTAGAAGCTGCTGATCGTATTCTTTTAAGAAAATAGACACTCATTTCCCATCAGTGAAGAGTGTGAGATCTGATGCTTGTTAAAATCTGGCCTTTGCAAATCAGAGACCTTTGTCTTGAGGAGCCTGATTTGTGTTTTTTCTAATTTTTTTTAGTTCTTTGGCAGAGTGGAAACAAAGTAGAGTGGTTTTTTTTCTGTTTGTGTTTGTAACAAAATATTCAGGGCTGCTTTTTTTTAATTGCTTTTGTTGGGTTTTTTTTTACACAAGATGTGAACTCGTGTATAATATATGTATACGGTGTATTTAACTTTCAGTTTCTGTGTTTTTTTCCCTTTGAAATAGCATCTTTAAAACTATTTTGGTTCTTGGTTTGGTGGTGTAGTATGCTTGTGCTTTAGGCAAAATCTCAGGAGTGAACCAACCAAGCATCTTAAGGTGATGAAGTCATTTAGTGAAGGAATCACATCATCTGTCCTCTTTTGCTGTCTCTTTAAAAAATGTAGAAGTGGAACCTGCTGCACCTTCAAATAGAATAGGAAAGGGGAGTGTTCCAGTGAAATCAGTGATCCAGCCCTGTGCTGTGTGGATGAAGGAAATCTGACTTCCTGATATAGCAGGGGTGGAGAAGGGGTAGTTGGTCGTCAGTAATTCTCAGTGTGCAGGGATTTTTCATGAGTACTGGAACAAGGATCCTTAAGGTAGGAATGCAACTTCAGTGCCCCAGAGGGATACTTCTCTAAAACTTTTCCATGCCAAGTAATCAAATACTTTTCCTGCGCAAATATTTATTTCTTTACCTTCAAAACATCCTTTACTTATACCTGTCTTCTCACCAGAAGCCATATGATCTATTCAGGCAGATCATAGGAGAGGTTAGAGAAAAGCTGTGAGCGTGAGCTGTGTGCTTCTTCTGAGAGAACATCTTGCAGCATTGTATTTGGAATGCATGAGCTCCCTCAATTCATCACAGAATGGAACTTGTTCAGATTTACTCTGCACTGAGTAAATTGCTTAGTGAAAATGGCTGCAGTTCGTATGCACCCTGTGAAAGCCAAGCTTGCCGGGATCTGTGTGGCTTGCAGCTTGTTTGGAGCTCAGAGGTAGTGGTGTTCTTTTCTAATGGTGGTGAAGCACTGAGCTATCAGTGAATGCCTCATATTCATCCCTCAGCAGGGGAATTGCTGGCTTCAGAGCTGGTGTTGGACACCAGTTGGGAAAGCACCAAAGTTTGTCTCTCAAAGTTTTAAGAGGAAGAAAACAAAACCCAGAGCCTCATGTGTCACTGTGATAGTTTGTGTTCCTGCAAGCATTCCCTGTCTCACAAGTTGTCTGTTTAAGGGTTGGGTTGTGAATTTAGAGCGCAGCCATGTTTGTGTGAGTGCTGTGCTTTATCTGTGACAGAGGAGAGGTGTTTGGTGCAGACACTGTTTACATCCCCGGAAGGGGTGGGTGTAGGAGTTGATGACTGTGTGTTGAAGGCCTTAAACTGTGACTCTTGGTATGAAGAAGTAAAATTAAAACTGACCTTGGAAGATGCAGTGGATTTTAACCCGTGTAAGAATACTCTGTGCTCTTAGCTAAGCAATATGTGCTCCTGTTTCCTTGTGAGGGGAAAGGGCCAGCTCTGCTTTCTGAGCCCAGGCAGCAGCTGCTAAGGAGCAGGGAGGTGCATATTTAAGGCCAAAAACAGTGCAGCTCTGCACTGATGTTCCTATGTAGTAAACATTGGTGACTGGCCCTGGGCTGCTGCGAGCATGAGGAGAACTGAGAGGGTTGGGGATGTCAGCAGCAGTGGCAGCTAGCTACGATTGCAGCAGGAGGTGACTGGGTCTCACCTGAGTATGTCACAGGTTGGTGTAGTTCCAGAAATACCCTCGGTGATGTAAAATGTGCACCAGAGCAGCTGGTTTTTATTTTTATTTGCCAAATCTCATGCTGTCCAGACAGCGTTTCTGCCACCCCCTACCGGTATACTGAGCTAACTACAGCCCCAGCCTTCCGCTGTCGGAACAGCGAGAGGTGAGCAGCACTGGAGCCTGAGGCTCTGGGCCATCAGCCCGAAGCCAATGGTGGCCCACGTTTCCACGAGCCCTGGGCAGCATTACCGAGTCACGGCACTTAATCCTGAATTGCACTGTGTTCCTATGCCTCTGTGTTGCTATAATGTACATATCTATTGGATTCTTTTGTAGATAAGACATTTTAGATAAAATTTTTAAATGGGCTCCCCCCCCAAATATTTTATGCCAGATGTCTAGTTTTTTTTACACTGGGGATTAACATGAGGTTGGATGCTGTGTGGACAGGGAAAAGATAAATGGATGGTACATTGACTTTAAAAAGGTAACAATGCATGTTTTAAAAGAAAACTGGAGGAAAAAAAAAAAAACTGCTTGGGAAAAAAAGAATCCATTCAACTATATTCTATGTTCTGCATAATAAAGAGTTTAAAAAGAAAAGCTCTGCTTGTTCTTCCTTAATGCCGTCTGCAGGGCTGGGGGAGCTGGGCGCTCAGAGGGAGCAGCGCCGTTCGCCCTTCCCGCGCAGGAGCTCTTCTCGGGGGCGGCGGAGGCTCCGGGCCCCACTCCGCGCCGCTCCCGCCCCTCTGC